TGACAGCCAGCGCCAGATGTACAGCGCGCCTTCGGCCCAGCAGTCGCCTTACCAGAACTCGGCAAACCCTCCCCCGGACCGCCTGTACAGCCAGGCCGCCTCGTATTCAAAGAGCGAGATGGGGCCGCCCGCAAGCCGACCGCCTGCGACCATCTCCTCCAACGAGCAGTCCGACAACAAGGGCTCCAACGGCATTGGCCCTGCTGAACAGCAGAACCAGAGCCACGGCGAGGAGGAGGGCGAGCACGAGGCTGAGTACACCCACGACAGCGCCTCCTACGACCACGCCCGCGCTCCGTACAGCTACAACACCGCGGCCGGCGTGGCGTCCATGAACAACGACTCCAACATGCCGTCGGAGATGGCGAGCTCCCAGAGCCACCCGCCGCCTGGCTCGGGACGCGCGACGCCTCGAACCGCCGCGCCGCCGCAGCCCTACTACCAGCATCACAGCGGGTACAACTCGCCGCAGCGCGTGCAGCAGTCGACGAGCAACCTGTACAACGTGATGACGAGCGACCGAGCACCGACCAACGGGGCTTCGGGCAACGATGTGTATGCGCCGCCCGCGGACATGTCGAGCTCCATGTCCAACGGCTACGCCCCCCAGCCGCCGGTGATGAACGGCTCGGCTTCGGGCCTGAAGAGGGGACGGGGTGACGACGACGACATCGGGCGGCCCTCAAGCGATGACATGGGGAACCTGGACCTTAAGCGACGAAAGACAATGCTGGAGACAACAGTATCCGCACCTACGTACGACGCCATGAGCCGACCTGCTTCGGCTATCACTGCTCCCCGTCGGCGGTAGACAAGACTTACAACAACACGTAATATCAACCCTTTCTTTTCCCGCCTTGACGAGTTCCACGTTCCACTGAGTTCCATGTTCTCGAGGTATTGCAGCATCTTCAGGTCATCCAACCACGGTGGGGGATTGGGGCAGCGGCGGCGTCATGAAATAATTTTTATCTGCAGCGATTTTGTGGCACCATTTGCTCTTATTTCATTATCGATCTGTTGCTCATTCTTCCGCCCCCCCTTTTTTTTTTCTTCCCCAACGGTGTAACGACATTCCT